TTTACAGATTCACTGAACACTATAAAACCCATAATCCCCTTCCTGTAGTCACACCTGTGATAAACAGAGCCCGTTTTACCGATCCAAAATGTCTCCGATTAAGGACTTCATTGTGACATACGAAGCTCCCAACGAGAAAGGATTTATTTCTCAAGGAGATACTATCGCAGGCACAGTCACTTTCACTTTGACTAAAGAAACCGAATTGAAGGTGCTGGTGGTGAAAGTCAAAGGGAACGCTCGTGTACACTGGACAGAGGGAACCGGAGATAGACGGAAATCGCGCACTGCGCACAGGAGATACCTCAAACTCAAAGAGTACTTAGTGCCAGAGAATGACAAAGGTAGGCAAAATAAATGCGTTGGCGTTTTGATTTTCGCAACTTTTCTCAACACTTGGATGTAATTGATGTTATTTTAATATTATGGGTGTTAGTTTGATAAGATAGATCTATGTGTTAGGGTTGATATATTGGCCTACCTGTATTGCTTTTAATATTGGTAATCTCTGCACTGGTTGCTTCTCATATGAATGATTTACCTGCAAATTACACTTCCATTACTTATATAGACAAGCTGTTTAAGAAAATATAAAAAAATGCTAATAGCCCTACTTTTTTTTCCATTGCTGACAATGACAGGTAGCCTAAACAATGCATATTGAATGAATGTTGTCTTATGTGTACCATATACTTTATTATGCTTTATATTTTATAAATCTACACATTTTGACCTACTGCAAATAAACAGAAATTGATAGGGCTGCACAGGAACTTCCTGGAACCACCCAAATCCCTCAATCTAATACGCATGCACAAAGTAGCCTAAATATGCTCTGCTGAGTAAATAAAGCCTCTGTCATTTGTCAGGTCTCTACAAAAAGTGTAAATCAATCTCACTTATTTTGCAGGCACTGCACTCCCAAAAGGGGCCAATTGCTTTAAGTTCAGGTTCACAATCCCACAGGAGTGAGTACACATTACTATCATATAGCATACTGTGTCATTGTTTGCTTTTGAACAATTACTGCATCTTGTTCTGTCTTACAGGGACATGCCGTCATCCTTTAAGGGGTATCATGGAAGAATTGTCTACATGCTTGAAGCAAAGATGTCCAGGAGCTGGCGTCCATCTTCTGTAGTCCAGAAAGAGCTCACGTTTGTGTCAAAGTGCTTGTCACACCCTGGCTCTGTAATGGTAAATGGAACCCTAATAAAACGTGCTATGAATTTGATCCACTATTTACACTTTCTAGAGGAGTTGTGTTTTAAACAGAATATGTCTGAATGAAGTCTGGAATGGAGAAAATTCAGTTATATATTATGGAGAGTTTTCCCATTATGATATATAACATTTGAGGAATCAGGATGGCCTAATCTAAAGGGAAACAGCAAGATACATTTTTCAACTGAATTTATAATTTCCACTGTATGAGGCATTCAGTTGATATGAAATCATGTTTGTCTGTATTATTTGTTCTAGTGTCCCCAGTCTGGTTCAGTGGAAAAAGACAAAGGAAAGGTCCAAATGTCTGCTACCGTTAACATGAAGGTTTGCTCTCCAGGTAAAATCACCAGCTTAATACAGTATGTAAACTGTATGTGTAATTGTTTTTTTGTGGTCATCTTATTTTACAAAGGAACATTTGCATAATCAGATGTTATGATTTGTTTTTGATAGGTGACACTTTAACTGTTGGTGCCAAAATCCGCAACTCTTCGTCCAAAAAATTGAAGCCCAAAGTCAGTTTACAGCAGAGAATAGTGTACCGTGCCGAAGCCTCCACTGATGTCAGCGACCTAAGTCTGTACAAAATGGAGGGGGACACTATCACATCGGGCTCAGAGGAAACTTTCTCATGCCAAGTGAAGATTCCTGGCGATGCACATTGCACCATCCAAAACTGTGAAATCCTCTCAGTTGAGCATTACGTCAAGGTGTGTAAAAGGTCCTGTTACACTTAATTAATTGCATTAATGACTTGCTTTTGTTTGCAAATATTGGTGGTAAAGCAAGTGGAGCACCGTCAATTATTGTCTAACATCACACAATTCAACAACATTAGAAATGTAAAACAACACACCAGCTTATGTATACATTTTTATAGTATAATCCAATAATAGTGTTTATAGTCAGTCAGACTGCATGATCAACTTAATTAATAGTTCCATAAATGTTTTTTTATTAAAAAAACTCTCTGATGTAGACTGATTTTACTTCTTGTTTTGTTTCCGTTTCCAAGGTGTACTTGGACATCAGCTTTGCCATTGACCCAGAAGTGAAGTTTCCACTGGTCATCATTCATTCAAGCTTGGCTGCCCTTCAATCTGGTCAGGCTGTGGGCCCTTATCCGGCTGGGTCTTTTGGGGCCCCAACTTACACCGACTTCCCTCCCCCTGCCTTCCCACCGGGACCCTACCCTGTACTTGCAGGCCCAGGTGCTTATGGGTACCCAGCACCAGATCCCAGTCAACATGCAAACATGACAAGTGGCTATAATAACCAGTGGCCACAACCTGCTGCTCCATATGGTTTTTCAAATGCTGCTCCACCTCCGTTTCAGCAGGGTACAGAACCTCCACCCTACATGTCCCTTTTCTCCCCTCCTCAGGACGACTTAGGTAGGACTGGGTCCGATTATAAAAACTAAGCTTCAAAAGGAAAACAACAAAACTAGTACAAAAAGACTAGCTATCTCAGTAAGAGTTGTTCTATTCTTCAGAGCTGTATATGTGAAAAACAATTGCATTCGTAAAGAGTGTGTTCTGATCTACAGTAGAGCCAAAATAACCTGTTTTGTGTGTTTGTAACTGGGGTGGGGTGCTGCTATCTTTATCTTTGACTGTCCCTTTCAGAAACCAGACTTATGTTTAAATATTTCAAATGTACTCCTGCACTAAATGTCAAGCTAATATCAGCAATAAAGCATTTTAACTTTAACCATTGTGGGACTGCAGCATTTGTTCAGTCGTTGATGGTGATTTTCCATTTGTTTCATGCAAAAAGGGAAGTTCTGTATCAAACGATAAAGGAAGCTCACATACATTGGACAGACAAAAGGGGTGAGATCATACAGTGCGCACAAAACATACTTCAGACTGATTCACTGAAATGGTTGGCCATATGTATGTGTTGGCCTTTGATTTACTTTCTCATATGAACACTAGACACTTTGTCCAAATCAATTATTTAAATGCTGTTTAAAAAATATGGCTATTGTTTTCTTCCGCATTCGACTACAAGTAAGTACAATACCCAGTATTGAGAAGTTTTGTTTTGAAACATTTTAACTTAGCCATGTTGGTTTTCAAAAAGCTGACTTTTCAAAAATCATTTTTGAGTTATCTGTTCTGGTTTACAGTCAACAAATTATTGTAAGGGTTACAGGAAAACAGGAAATTCCAGTTTTATGTTGGCATTTCAATGGCCTTGACTGTTAAATGTTATTGACTTCCATTTTGTTGTATTTCATATTTATTTATTATCGTTATCTCCCTTAAGGAGGGGATGCCCTAGGAAGTTGTTGTTACCAGTTTATGACCGGGCAACTCTCGGTCAGAGATAGTTATTGTTGTGGGACACCTGGAACACATCCTTCTTGAGATGTAGATGACCCCGAGCCATAAGCGATAACAAATGTGATTCAGTTTCCCCAGCTGTTTAGTCTATCTATTGAAGAATGTTGATTATTACACTCTGAACTAGTTAAAACCTCGAGCTACAGGAGGGTTCTTCAGAATTGATTGTGGCATCTCAACCGTGTGGTCAACTCGTGGCCCGTGATATGTCTTGTGAATTCTCCACCCGAAGCTCCAAATAAACCGTCAGTGTTTGCCATCAAAGCTCCAGCTCTCCTCGTGTCTCTCTTTGAGTCCTGACTCCAATTACTTCAGAAGTTTCCCCCACACACTGAATGTGTTTATTTGGATAAAGGTTTACCACATGCTCTGTGGTGCATCATTAAAGAGAAAAACATCATGTGACCATGCCGCCCTGAAAGCTGTCCCATTCCTCAGTTACAAATGGGCAATCCTATTCAGCCTGGGACAATGTTTTTTACGTATAACAGATTTATGCTCTTAAATCTAATTGGTAGTCCATGGAGTTGTAGCACACTGGTTTAAACACATTTAATTCCTGCCATAGTGGAAAACAAGGAATGTCTATGAGTTGTGTTAGTTGTTGATCTAAAAAAGGACAGTAACAGAATATGCAAAACAGCAACATAATTTGCATAAACAGTGGAAAACAGGAATGTATTTTTTCATCTCAAAACCTTGTCACAGTGAAAGAGTAGAAATAGAAATGGGCAATCAAAGTTATCTTTGGAAAAATACTCAGAGCCTGTAGGCTACTTAAGTAAAACTACTAATACCACACTTTAAAAATAATTTAATACAAGTAAAAGTATTTAGGTAGATTTTACTTAAAAGTACACAAGTTCTATCAGCCAAGTGAACTCAAGTATCAAAAGTAAAAGTACAGATTTTGCAGGATGGGTCTTCTAAAAAATGTTGTATTATTATATTATTCTGTTTTTATTTTTAGAAAATACTTATTAGAGTTTTTAATGCTGTAATTTGACATTTTGGATACTTTGCAGTGGTATATAACATATGTAATTTGTATAAAAAGTACCCACTACAAGAGTCAAATAAATGTAGTGTACAAAATACGATATTTGTTTTTGAGATGTAGTAGAAGTTTAAAGTAGCATAACATTTGTTCCAAAGTTCCCCAAACTACACTTCAGTACAGTACTTGAGTAAATGTACTTAGTTACATTCCACCAGAGCGTAAACAATGCATTCTCCCTGGACAATAACAGTGTATTTCAAAGGAATTCTGCATGTCCCCCAAAGACTGAGATGTCCCTCTGAAGAGTTATGAGGAGGAAGGAACGGATCCTCTATGCATCTATCCAAGTGATGGATGCATACAGGGAGGGTGCATAAACCTTTGTTCCCGCCCACTTGCACTTGCTACTGTTGCTGAATAGATGCAGGCTGTATTTCCACTGAATACCCCAAACTATCTGTGCCTGTGATCGCCATCGCCATGGGAAGAATGCTGCTGTGTGTCCATTTGCTCGTCTTCGTAATTTACAAAGGTAATGTTACGAAAGTTAACCTTTAGCTTGCAGGTACTACTGAACTTTTAAACAGTTAGTTGTGTGATTTCTAGATTACTAAACCGAGAAGAAAGCGATTCCAATCCAAGGAAAAGGGTCATTTTCACCTGCTGTCGAAATAGTTGCGTAGTGTTTATCGTGTCAACACTTCCCAAGTCTGAGCTAACGTTAGCTAGCTAGAGTTATCTTTGTTGACAAAAACTTAACCCGTTTAGTCAACGTTAAATCGTCTCTCCTGTATCTTTCAGAAGAAGAATGTAGTGATGTAAGTGAGCTAAGAGTGGATTTATCGCTACTTAAATACATGGGGAAATGTTGTGTTGAAGTAGGCCAGAGGTAGAAGAAGTAGGACTCTACTACTAATGTGTTTATCACAGCTCGTACAGGTGCAGCCAGTTTCATTTACTTTGTATGTTGCAGGGTAGCTTGTGAATGTTCCTCCGGGTAAAGTCTTGATTATATTTCCTATCAATAATCGAAATATGTAAGGTAACTAAAGGTGTAACGACAATGTAGTGGACTAAAAGTACATGATTTACCTCTGAATTGTAGTGGGGTAGAACTAATAAGTAGAAAGAACAAATAAAAATACTTAACTAAAGTACACGTTTCTAAAAATGTTACTTAAGTACTTAGTTACTTAAAGGTCCCATGTCATGGCCATTTCTACTGATCATAATTCCATTGTTGAGATGTACTAGAATAGATTTATATTGTGCAATTTTCCAAACTCACATTGGTTTCTCATACAGCATCTCTGTATAGTATGTGTATTCACTCTCTGTCCTAAACGGCTTGTTGGAGCTCCTGCTCCAAGAAGCAAAGACGATTTAACTTCAATTTACTAGCTCTTAAAATGTGGCTTTACATCCCCCCTGTTGGGACCATGCATGTTCCTCGTGTCCCCTTTTCAAGACTTAATAAGTATTTGACAACTCACTAGCATATTATGCGAAATATAAACAGAAAGTTCACCTCAGAGATGTTATGCCATTTTAAGATCTTACCTGTGAGGTACTGGGTTTGTACAAAGTAACAATATCAGATATATCTTGCCTATAATTATCAGATTTTCTTTCTTAATTAAAAAATGTAGCCTAGGTTAATTTGACAATTGTAAACCTAGCCTAGCTCCCTCCCCAAATACAATGGCTGAGAGGTAAACTATATGAGTTGTAATACTATTTTAAACAATGCTTTTTGTTTAATGTCCCTTCCACAGAGGCGTCTGGCTTGAAAATTCAGAACAAGCTGCTGGGTAAATGTCTGCAGGTTCAGGAAGGATCTTCGGGAGGGAGAGTATCTCTGGGTGAATGCAGCCCATTTTCAGCCTTACAGGAATGGCGCTGGCTCCCACAGAGCCAGGCTCTAAGCAACCACCACACCGGGGAGTGTCTGACTGCACCTGGAGAGCAGTATGAAGGTGTGCGCCTGCAGTCCTGCATCTTTCACGCTGAAAGTGGTGAAGCTGCTGCTGGAGAGGCAGTGGAGGATATAGGCAGAGAGGCAAGCAACCAGGCGTGGTCCTGTTCCAAGAGGGGCCACCTCACTTTGATGGGGAAGGGGCTGCACCTGAGTGCCACACAAGAATCCACTTTGGTCTTTCTTTCAAGGGAACATAAGCAGGTAAGAATGGTATAACAGGAGGAGGACCTGCTCCATGAGACATAACATCTGATGTTAGTACATTAATCATATTACTTATTGCAAATTGGGAAGAAATATTGATATTTTATAACAAACCCTCTGTATACCAAGAGATTAAACCTAAAATATGTCTAATCCAGCCCGATTTTTTTCTACCTCGTCTTATTTACAAGCCTGGCAGCAGGTGGCGGACACTTGACAACCAGACATTGTGCAAAGGGAGAGACAGCAAACACAACCAACACCAATTTCACCACAACCTGGGGAAATCATTGGAACACAGGATTGTTCCAAGTGCCATGTCTGATATACGCAGACAGGCTGAACCATGTAAGGACCTAAAAGTATTTCACTAACAGTAGTTTAGTGTGTTGTCTTCTAACATTATGTGACTGATAAAAGTGGCAAAAAGCTCCGTAAAGAGATAACCAGTGGCTAGATAAAACCCTCCTTTGTTACTAATTTTGTAACTAGGCTACTTGACACTATTTTCAATTATATGAGCTCAATGCCAGAGTTTCCGTTAGCCGGTAATTACCGGACTATGACCGGTAAAATATGCTGAAGATGTCAAATCTAAATCTCTCTCAAAATGTCGCTTATTGTTTAGGTGTCCATTGATACGCAGGCAATCATATCATTAGCTAGAACTAGCTAGATCTGATCGATATGGACATAAACGCGAGTGAAGTCTAATCGGACAGGAGAGAGAGATCAGAGATCAGCTGCTGCTGACGGAGACACGCAGCTCTGCATGATCACCTGCAGCTCCGCCCACTTTGATGGACCGGTGAGCGGAGCAAAACACACAATTCAAGTTAGATCATCACACTTAGCTATTTCTAAACTAGTTATAAATATGTTTATTTTTACGGTCGGGTCACTCATTACTGGATCAGCCAGCTGCATGAGACGGATACTGACGGGCTGTCAGGAGAGGGGGAGGAAAAGAGAGGCTCCGTTTATTATTCTTATATTATTATATAGAGTCGTTATCAATTTGTTTAAAAGCTCAATAAATAACAAAGAAGACCTTTGACCGGCACTTCTCTCATTTTGTCCGGAAGATTTCAACTTTAACGGACATGTTGACCGGCGAAAAAAGATTCTAACGGAAACTCTGTTCAAAGCGTATAAATACTCTCTAGCTAGCCTTTGTAATCAGTCATGCCAGTATGATTTACTGAAAGAATTAATAGAAAAAAACAGTAGATTTGTTTTGTTTGTCTGGATGCAAATCAGTGACCATTTCCAAACTTGGTGGTGCATTCAATTATTATGTCAAAACTCAAAGTAAACACTACATTTGAAAAGGATAATACATTTAGTAATTGTTCTTGCATTGAAAAGGTTGCTGTTCCTCAAAGCTTATTCTTCTCTTTTATTTATTCAGCGAGGGCTTTCACTTAATGGAGGGCAGAGCGCTCTTTCAGCAACGCCCTTATCACATTCGCATAGTTCACATACACACCTGGAAGCTACCCAATACAGCCACAGTCTGATCTGATGGCCACTGAGCAGAAGCCTTTCCAGGATTCCCCTCTTCCCATTCATTTTGATGGGTTACTTTTGTCAAAGTTTTTAAACATTTGCAAGTTTTAACCATTTTGCACAATGATTAGCATTTAAACAAATGTGTGCAAACAGTAGTCCATGGGCACAAACATTCAAACTACACATACCTTTTTGTCACTGGGGCGGAAAGGTAGGCAGGACCGAAACAGTATGAAAGAGGGAAGGCAGGTACAGTATAAGAGTGTAACAAAAGGCAACCTTGATTAAATAAAAAGATGGTACAAAATAAACACAAAAAAACTGGAGGAGCAGGTTAGGTCAAACAAAAAGAAAACTAGCAACCAACCGGGAAGACTCAGAAGACACAGGAGGGTAGACGAGGGAAATCTAGAACATGCCGACAAGAGACTAGGAACCACACCAAGGAAACAACAACTGAAAGAGAACACTGGGGGAAGACAGGCCTAAATACACACAAGACAATCACCAAAACAAGACACAGCTGGGGAGGGGAGATCACACACAGGGGCAGCAGGTGAACATAATCAGGGGCCGGAAGAAGGAAGTGAAGTTGGAGACGCGTGGCAGAAAGTTCACAGAGAATCGGAAATTCGGATACATACAGAAACGGTAGCATTGGATTGTTATTTTGGCGGATTTGCATAAACTGTACATTGAGTGTTTCATCATGTCAACCAGCTCAGATGGTAGCCAAAGAAACAATATGGAATGGATGATAGCCAAAGCTGCGAAGAAGAAAAGATCTTTGAGAGAAAGAGATAGTTCAGTAAGAGCTCGAAGTTGGTCGGATTGGTCGGGTGAAGCAGACGAGGATAAGCAAAACAAAAAATCAAGAGTCAGTCAAAATGACAGTCAAGCAATGTTGAATAAAGAAATAGAACGCGAGTGGAAAGTGGTAATAGAATTCAATCAGGATGGTGGGCATTACCACCCGATTAAACTTACCAAAGCAATTGAAAAAGAGATTGGAAAAATTAAATTTGCTAAATTCATGAACAATAAGCGGGTATTGATACATGCCAATAACAAACAGCAGCAGGAAAAGATTCTGGGAATGAACTCACTGAATGGGGAGAAAATGAAGGCGCATGTTCCAGGAGCAATGGCAAAACTGAGAGGAGTAATCTCAGGAGTACCATTGGACATGTCAATGGAAGATGTGAAAAGTGAATTAAAAGGAGGCAAAATAGTGGAAGTCACAAGGCTTAAAAGCAAACGGGATGGTACACTCAAAGAAACATTATCAGTTCTCATTCAGTTTGAGAGAATCTTACCTAAGGCAGTACAAATGGGATATTTGAACTTCATGGTTAGGGAGTACATCCCCAAACCTCTCAGGTGCTACGCATGTCAACGAATGGGGCACACAGCGCAGCAGTGTAAAGGACAGCTAAGGTGTGCGAGATGCGGAGGAAAACATGAGTATGGAAAATGTGAAAAGGATGCAAAGGTTAAATGTTGTAACTGCGGAGGAGATCACAGTGCTGCGTTTGGAGGTTGTGAAGTGCAGAGAGAGGCCAGAGAGGTGCAGAGAGTTAAGATTACAAACAAAGTTTCATACGCAGAAGCAATAAAGAAAGTAAGGGGAACAGTAACAATCAATAAGAACCCTAGTGGAATGGAGCAGAGCATTACAATACAAAATGTCAGGAACACACCAAAAAGTAATCTTCAAATCCAACCCCACAGCGCCACCAAGAGTAAAGAGGATGATGATGTTTTAGGAGTGAAAAAGGTGAATTTTGTGGTATTTATATGCCATACTGTAAATGTTGCATTACAGTTAAAAAAGAAAAGTGATAGAATCAAAGCCATTGTGGAGGCAGCTGGAAAATTCCTTGACATGAAAGATATTAAAGCAGATCAGATACATGCAATGCTAACTATAAATGGAGCTGGGGGAAATGAAAATCAGGATGAGGGTTAGATCCTTAATCATGGTGCTGCACATACTACAGTGGAACGCAAGAAGCCTCATAGCTAATGGTCAAGAATTCAAGAAATATATATATGATCTAGAGCAGGGGTTTTCAAAGTGTGGGAAGGTGAGCCTCCCCTCAAAGAATATAAGAACAGCCGCGCCCCCCCTCCCAATTATTATTGCTATTATTATTATTATTATTGTTGTTGCTATAATGCAGGGGTATTATTATCCAGTGGAATGCCCTTACCTACTGGCCTAGTTAAATCAAAGTGGTTACTTATTTTTGTCTGGGCAGTGTAGTTTTACACACCATCTTATTTGACTTTCTCAGGGCAGAGCCCCACAAAGAAAAAAATATATGTACACACGTAAGGTCATCATCTTAACAGTTTTTAATGCTCGAGTCATCCGTGCCTATTACAGCTGAATGCGGCGATTACCATCTTGTTCAGCAAAACGCCTCACAAACGTATTAACATCCAAAGCTTTAGTGCGTTTTGATTCAATGCTGAGCACAGCCAAACTTGACAGTCTCTTCTCTGTCATTGTAGACCGCAAATACCTTATTCCTTCCGTGTACTTGGGTCCGAATGCTTCTCGTTTTCTGCCGCCCGTTCAAATGAAATCGCCGCCAATCACATTTCCTCGCTCGCGCCAGGGTTACAAGGCTCGCGTCTTGTGCTGCATTCACTTGCACTCGGACATCAGGGATTTTCTCTGATAAATGTCCGATGAGCCACAACTTTTATTTCAAAACAAAGCTGCCAACTGGGGTGGCCAGACGCTGTCTCCTCTCTCACTTTAGGTAACTTCACTAAAAATCGATCCATGTTGCCGCTCGCATAAAGTTAGCTGAAGTTAACGAGCTAGATTTCATTGTTTCTCTTTATCTTTTTCTCACGCTGCGCCTCCCCTGAAGCTCTCTGGCGCCCCCCAGGGGAGGCGCGCCTCACACTTTGAAAACCGCTGATCTAGAGGTAGTCCCTGAGGTAATATGTGTGCAAGAAACCTGGTTACGACCTCAATTAGACTTTGTCATTCCAGGATTTAGCTGTATAAGGCATGATAGAGATAATAATCAAAATGGTGGAGGGTGTGCCACGTTTCTCAAAGATGGTGTGGCATATAGGGAGGTGCAATCTCCTGATGATATAGAGTGTATTATAGTGGAAATCTGCAACCCTAGGAAACAAGATAACATTAGGATAATCAATTTATACAACCCATGTAAAAATCTAACCACTGATATATTTAAAGAAATAGCAGGCAATAAACATAGGAAGGAAGTTTGGTGTGGTGATTTCAATGCACACAACAGTCTATGGGGCAGCAACCATACAGACAGTAACGGAAATATAGTGGAAGAAATGCTGGAGGAAAGAACACTAGTATGCCTTAATGATGGACATGGCACAAGAGTAGATGTACACAGGGGGAAAGTATCATGCCTGGATCTGACATTAGTGTCAAACTGTTTGGTTCATACATGCGAATGGTTTGTTTTGAATAAATCCACAGTAGGAAGTGACCATTATCCAGTGCTTACTAAAATGAATACTAATGTATATATACAGGAAGGAGGTGCAATAACCAGGTGGTGCTTTGCTAAAGCTGATTGGGGGAAATTTAGGATATGGTGTGAGGAGTCGGTACACCTGCTAACATCAGAGGGAAGCATAGAGGTCATTACAAGCCAAATAACGCAACATATTCTAAATGCAGCAGAGAACAGTATACCCAAAACAACAACCAAGGGTAGGAAGAAAGTGGTGGAATGAGGAATGCAGCAGGGCTATTAAAGAGCGAAATAATGCATTTAGAGAATTAAAGAAAAACATGACACAAAATAATGTTATAGAGTTTCAAAGGAAAAGGGCAGCTGCTCGAAGGACAATCAAATACACAAAAAAAAAGAACATGGAGAGAATTTTGTTCTACCATTGGCAGAGGAGTAAAATTAGGTGATGTCTGGTCCATGTTTAAGCGGATGAGTGGGAAAAGGAAATCCATTAAAATTCCAGCTTTGGTTGATGGGGAGAGGCTGGCAGTGACAGATAAAGAGAAGGCAGACATGTTAGGAAGGGCACTTGCAGCAGTACATAGCGGGGAACATCTCAGTGATATTCATAGGCAGCAAAAACAGCAGTTACTAGCAGAGAATGAAAACGTGAAGGAGAAGAGACAGGATAATAGGTCAGCTCTTGATGTGGAATTTACAATGTCAGAACTCAAAATAGCCTTACAAGGTACAGGTTATACAGCCCCAGGACAAGACCAGCTATGCTATGCTATGTTTAGACAGTTACCTATGGAAACTATGACAATGGTGCTGAGTCTTTTCAATAAAATCTGGAAAGAAGGAGATATGCCAAGTTTGTGGAAAACAGCAGTCGTGCTACCATTCAATAAGCCAGGGAAAGATACAGCTAACCCTAGTAACTACAGACCAATAGCTCTTACATCACACCTATGTAAATGGATGGAAAAGATCATTGTCCGTAGGCTCTCACATATACTGGAGCAGAAAGGGCTGCTGAGTAGTTTTCAGAGCGGATTTCGTAAAGGGCGGTCCACAATAGATGCATTAGTAAGAGTGAGTAATGATGTGGAAAAAACATTGAAAATGAAAGAGATAATGGCAATAGTGTACTTTGACATTGAAAAGGCGTATGACTGTATGTGGAGGGATGGGTTACTGATCAAATTGAGTAGAATGGGTATTGGAGGGAGAATGTACAATTGGGTAAGGGCCTTTTTAACAGACAGGACATTTAGAGTAAAGGTTGGAGCAGATATTTCCAACTTTTTTGAAATAGAAAATGGTATTCCCCAAGGGAGTGCAGTCAGTCCAATATTATTTAACATCATGATTAATGATATATTTACATGTTTAGACACATGCATCCAATCGGCTCTATACGCAGATGATGGGGCTATTTGGATGAGGGGAAGAAATGCCCCATACGTAATAGAGAATATAGCTAGAGCGATTAAACAAGTGGAGAGGTGGTCATATAACTGGGGATTCAAAATGTCAGAAAGCAAGTCATGCTACATGGTATTTACAAACAAACGCAAGATTGATGGCCAACAGCTAACACTATATGATCGTCCAATGACAAAGGTGAATGAGTTCAAATACCTAGGACTGTGGTTTGATAGCAAATATACGTGAAAAATGCATGTTAATCAAGTGGAAACAAAATGCAAAAAAGTATTAAATTTATTGCGAGCTGTAGCTGGATGCAACTGGGACGCAGACAAACAAGCATTAATAGATATTTACAGATCAATTATGAGGTCCACAATAGATTATGGTTGTATAGTGTATGGAGCAGCAGCAAAAACATCGCTTTTAAAAATTGATAGAATACAATATAAAGCATTGCGGCTGTGTATTGGAGCGATAAAGTCATCCCCTATCAATGCAGTTCTGATAGAAGCAGGAGAGACACCTCTGGAGATCAGAAGAGAGAAACTTGCTCTGTCATACTGGGTCAGGCTACAAGGAAGTGGAGAAGAAAATATTTCAAACAGAATATTACAGGATTGCTGGGAATATGCAAATTTCCAGGGACGTGGGTTTGGCTGGACGAGTAAGGAGAGAACGAGGGCATATGGAGTGGAGAATATCAAGTTTGCTAAAGCAACCCCATTTAGTAGTGTTCCCCCATGGCTTTTCCCAGAAGCTAAAATAGATATGAGTATTGTAGAAAGGAAAAAAGAGTGGCAAGTAAATGAAGTGGGAATTAAAACAAGTATGTATCTGAATGAAAAGTATTACAATTGCCTACAAATTTACACAGATGGTTCTAAGAACAAGGAAGAGTGTGTTGGAGTTGGTATATACATCCCAGAATTTAAAATATCTATTTCAAAAAGAGCGTCTGATCAATTATCAGTGTACACAGCAGAAATGCTGGCAGTAATAATAGGATTACAGTGGGTTGAAGAGGTCAGACCAGATAGGGTGGTGATGTGCACAGATTCATTGTCCATATTACAAAGCATACAATCAACAAGAACTGCCAGAGAAGACATTCTCATAGAACTGAATCATAGCCTGTTAAGACTGCACAGAGGCGGCATAGATCTGCAGTTCTGCTGGGTGCCTGCACATGAGGGGGTTAAAGGGAACGAGTGTGCTGATAAATTAGCAAAAAGTGCACTACAAAAGGAAATCACATTACCAGTTCAACTTGGAAAAGGAGAAGGAAAAGCAGTAATTAAGAAAAAAGGGATGGAGGTCTGGCAGAAAAGGTGGGAGAAAGACCAGAAAGGCAAAGAATATCACAAAGTACAAAAGACAATTACAATTCATATTTATAAAGAAAGAAACAGAAGGGAGGAAATCACGATCGCTAGACTCAGAATAAATCACACAGCATTGAATGGTACTCTGTATATCATGGGGAAAAGTGACAGTGACAAGTGTGGGAACTGTGGAGTAAAAGAAGATGTAGAACATATCTTGATACATTGTGACATCTATAAAGCTGAAAGAGAAAAACTAAAGGCTAAAGTTTTAGAGGCAGAGAGGGAATGGAGTGTGATTGGTGTTTTGGGAACAAAAGGAGAGGGAGTGAGAGCTACCAGAAAGGCACTGTTTACATTCTTGAGTGAAACTGGGGTAGGAAAAAGAATTTAACATTAGGTCAGGAAAGAACATAGGTTTTTTTTTTTTTTTTTTTTTTTTAATTTATTTCATGTTTTTTTTAATTTTTTTTTTTTTAATTTATTTTGATTAGATCATAGGTTAAAGAGTTGGTATGATATGATGATTCATACTCATGTACAGTAGGTGGCGGTATGCACCTTTTAAGTTGTTTGCAATCCGCCAAAAAACGAAGAGAAGAAGAAGAAGAAGAACATAATCAGGCCCAGGAAGGCAAACACAGGAAGTAAAACCAGACAAGACACATAGAGGAAATACATTTCCAAATAAAACAGGAATCTATAAACACAAAAACTAAGCTCATGACACTTTCTAAAAGATATTCCATGTTCTATATCTGATATCTGATGTTTTTTGCCATGGCCTCTAGATTTTTATTACAAAATGCCTACTTGTAGCCTAAGGATCTGATTTATTCACCAGACTCTTGACTGATCAATATTTCCCTAATGGAAGGCAGCTAGACAGGCCATGAATTTGCATCATTGAAATGTGATCCATCTTGTTTTTACATCAAGCTGGTCCTGGATTAACTGACTTCTGTCTCACTAATAAAGATGGACAGACACTACTGTAGCTTCTTTGGTCAAAAGGCATATCAATTCAACCTAGGATGTTCAGTTTTAGTCCTTGATTTTAGTTGAGTTGATTCGTTGTAACATGTTCCCTTTTTTCTCCACTTCCAGTTGAAGGTTTAATGGCCGTTGAGGTCTCGCAAACATATCCTGTAATGGATGTGCCTCATTCATCCCTGAGCACCAAATCTCCTGAAGATCCCACCATGATTTTCTTTAGTATGGACTATGGTAAGTTCGGTAACACATCATTTAATGTAGGCTGACATAGAAGCATAGAAGTAACTGAAGTCATTAGTCCATTTAGCTGAGGAAGGTTTCCAACTGGGTGAAATGCATGATAAAAGCCATTCAAATTATCTAAATGTCAAGGAAAAGGTGCATCAATGCTACCTTTCCTATGTCCTTTAGCAATAGGAACTCTGGACCATCCTTTACCAAAGAAAATAACATGATGCTGGCTAGCTGTTTAATTACACTATTGCTAGATTGAAACATCCTTCTTAGGAAATGTGATTTTTATTTTGGACAGGAATCAGAATCAAGTTTATTGCCAGGTACGATAAAACATACAAGGAATTTGCTTTAGTGTCTGGTGGTGCAAATGTTAACGATATAAGAAAAATAAGTTGCAATAGTAGGTCAAACATATGACAATAATATAAACGAGTATTTTTAAGAAACTGTTTAGCATTAAAAAAGAATAAAGACAAGTATTTCATTTTAAACATACAAATAACCTTAAAAGCTTAAAAAACTAAAACACAGAGCTGAGCATGAACATGGCTCCCAATATCTTCACATGATGTGTATTAATGTAATGCATAATGTTTGTGGGGTGGATAAACAGTCACTCTCAGTGGGGGTCCCGGTCCTTGTTGATGAGGCGGTAGCAGAGGGGAAGAAACTGTTCAAGTGACGAGAGGTTCAGGTCCTGATGGAGTTATTACTTCTTTTTTTAATTGTATAGCATTCAATTGTCTGTGTTATAAATAAAGTTGCTTGGAAACATAGGCTGTCACATTATGTTAGTGCAGTCTGATTCTCTTAGCACTGAAGTTGTCATTTCCTTCTTCAGTAAATGTGTAGTTGTTTTTCACCTCTAGGTGGAGATGGATGACTGTTGATTTGAGAGCAGAGTTTATAGTGGGTGTGTTGCAGTCTTTGTAAAGGAGTTTCAATGGGCTTTTATTTGCAGGGTCAGAGTCTTGACATAAATGTTAACAAATGCATAAACAATACAATGTGGGTTGTGTAAAATGAATGATGTGTGGCTTGGTCTTTGTACATGTATACAGGAATGGGCTGGAAGATAACCATGTTGGTACTAAGCTCTTTGGCTCTGGTCCTGGGGACTCTCATTCTTATCCTTAATGTTTACTCCAATAGGTGAGTGCTAAACACACACACACACACACACACACACACACACACACACACACACACACACACACACACACACACACACAGCGCACACAAGGGATTTTATCAAATGCATATTGATTTACTTTTGAAATGCTAACTTGATAATTAATCAGTAAACCAACATAACATAAATGTATTTTATTTTTGCTTATCCATTAATAATTAAATGGTCAAATAGAAAACATTTGACCTGTAACAGTTTCTCTGAAGCTAGAATTGCTTGTTTATTTCTATTTTCACGTCATTGTAGGTCAGATACATTGGTCTCTATAGACATTTTAGGGTAATAAAACAAATATATAAATGATACTCAATGATTAATCATATCATATATGCCAATAATAATAGTACACATAAGACATTGACAAACATTGGATAGAATAAATAGGGCAATATATTTCAAAGAGCTCTGGTACAAAGCCACATGTTTTACCGCCGCCAACTTTCTGCCCTTTTCTGTCTTGCTGTGCCAGAAGGAAGAAGGTGGTGTGTGTTTTGAAGTCATACACACCGAGGCCAGAGGCGAGTGTCCCTGGGTCCCCGGTGCTCAGTGAAAGAGCCCCGCTGACCCAGCATGCAATGCGGTTCCCACACTCCACCCCGACTTTACAACGAGGAGAAATCCTGATTGAGTGGAAGGATGGCACTGTTACTCCACTGTACGAAGCCTGAACGTTGGACTGCAAATAATGTTTAACATGGTTCTGTCGGTGCAAGCAAGCATTGTTTCTCATGCAACTTTATTATCTTCTGAATGTATCTGAAAGGGTTAAAAGAAAAGAGAATATTTTCTCAGAATGTTGGCATCCAAATGGAATTAAACAAAATGTTTCATAAAATGTCAAGTCAAAGGATCAGTATCGGACCATTTCTGTGATACTTGCCAAAAGGAAGATAAAAGCTGCTATGAAGCCGCCAGAAAAGAGTTGGACTGTCAGATTTGAAAAAGACCTAACTTCTGCTGATTTAAGAGATAGCTTATTGGATGAAATAAATGTAAATTAGTTTTTAAGCAAACCATTGTTTGTATGCTTAATAAAACTACAACTCAAGCACTTAACAAAGTAACCAATAGCTTAGGCCTTTAGTTGGAATAATACTAAGGAAAGTTATTTTAGTTTGTTGCATATATGAAGATTTGAACACTTGAGTTACTTCAGGTGTCACTTTGGCTCCTGAGACTCAAACCCTTCATTTTAGGAATTGGGGTTTTACAGGAAAGTGTAATGACCATTGTGTTGCAAGAAAGTTGTTTTCAGAACAGAATTAAGTATTATTTAGCTTGTACTTTATATCATAAATATATAGTTATTGAGATTTTTCAGAAAAAAATCATAACCTAGTTTACATAAGTAAGGACACTAGACTGGCAGCATAATCCTGTACTGGAATGCACTAAAGTGTTAAAGGGGGGGTACTTAATACTAAAATTGCCTTTGACCGCCACTCAAGGTCCACTTGAGCTTATCCTTACTACACTTTCATCATCAGCAGAAGAAGTTGGCTCTGTAGTCATGAAGATGTATTTAACTTGCCATTATTCGGAGCACTTTTGGGGTTTTGCATCCTTAAAAGTCCACTGTGAAGATTGTTGATAAAGTTGAAAGCACCAGAACCAGCTTTTGAGTGGAGATTGTTTCGTCAACTATCATTTAATTTTGCATTTTATATGGCTACCTGGCAGACCACTAATTTGCGGCAAATATATTCGTTATTTTTTTACTAAAAAAGTATTTTCATATTGTAAACATATCTAATAAAATCATTTAGATGACTTGTGCTGTTTTTATGACTACATAGTATGTGATGTTTTATCTTCTTCTGTGTTTGTTGTATATCAGCCAAATCATTCCCATAGTAGTTTAATATCATCATCTTGAGTTAGGAGGAAAGGGAATGGTTGCTGGCAAAAGCACCATTTGTAATAATTTCATCAGACTGTCTGTGGGCTGCAGTAATCCCAGTTAAACTAATTAAATTGATGATGTTGATGAGGCTTCCAGGGAACATGGCATTCCCTGTGGCACGGAAACCTCCCAGCAGGAAGAGTGTGTTTACAGCAGTAAACCAAAGGCTGTTATACGGTTGTTTTCCTGGGAGAGGCCTCTGTGTTGTTTGGTAGGTGAAGCACATCCCTCCAATTTAATAAGAAATGAGGTAAACGTGTTTGGACAAAACTGCCAGAAGAAGAGCTTGTTCTACATGATTCTGTTAAAAGTGCATTAGCGAGCAGTTCTCTTCTCCTCTGGTATATGTGCTTTTAATGGACATTTTTGTACACTCAACCTGGAGCTTGACACCCCGTTTCCCCTGCTGATAGTGTTTGTACTAATGAGAGGGCTCAACGTTTAATGAACAGCACACAGCACCCTGGAAATGAAATGGCATCCCACACCCTCCCAAACCACATCCACATGCCTGATGCCTAGAAAAAAAACAAGGTTACTTTGTTTCTTTCTTTAATTTATTTTTGCAAACGAATCATTTAGCTTTCACACAAATCATATTTGTTTTGATTGGCCAGTAAATGTTATCAGGGAATTAGATTCATCATACTTTATACTTTTAAATTGTGTTATGTTGAGTTCTGCATGATAATAGCACGACAGACCACTCGCCATGAAACACAATGTCGCTGTAAGTCCAATGGACACGGTCCAATCGTCCCCCAATCTTCACTTGTATATCACCGGTCCATGCCTCAACAGCTCTACGCCAAATCTGAGATCTCACCATATGCCGTTTCCATGGAAACGCATCCCTCGCCATAAAAGACGATGTCGCTATAACTCCTATGAAAATGTCCAAAAAGTGCTCAAACTTCACATGTGTGCTAACAGTCCAGCCGTGAAGACATCTACGGGACATGCCGTTGCCATGGCAACACAATGCCCGCCATGAAACACGGTTTTCTCATAACTTCAGTGAAAATGCTCCAAATGGCCCAAAACTTCACAGGTTTGGTAACGATGCTGCCATCAACGCATCTAAGCATATTATGGGATGTCATCAAATGCCGTTGGCATGGCGACAGATCATTCGCCATCAAGTTAGTTCAAAAGTTTGCAGTTCAAATATTCTGCTGCTTTTCCAAGCCTTTTTACTTTCTTTTCTTCTCTCATCACACATTCAAGCCCCCAGTGTTCATGTATCATTTCAATCTAAATTCTTCACTTTCTTCTTACACATTACATTTCAGCATAGCAATGCAGCGTCAGCTTTTCAGCATAAAGCATTCCCACTAGCAATTTCTTCAGGAATTGCATTCTCTAGTTTTATGTTTCTGTTGCGTAATACAGCTCTTTGGATTTAAAAATAAACAATGCCAATGAGGGCACCTTTCAGCTCCACTATCATTTGACTGCTAGGTGTTTACATACATTGCACGAAGAGTGTTAGCACTGTAACCCTATCATTGTCCTTCTCTGCAATGGACTGCAGTGTCAAAACAATTTGGATCACGTCAACACCCTCAAACTCCCTTAAAGCTGAAAGTCAACCCATGTGAGTGCTGGAGCCCAGAAAAAGTGACTGTTTCACCTTCCAAGTACTGAGGCTGATCTTTATGTGCACTAACATGTTTTGTTTGCAGGTGAGGCAGAAGAGGATGGGAGTGATACCTGTGTGAATAAGGGGTGTGTGAGAGAGGACTGACTCAGCACTCTGTATACAATCATATTTCCTGTTTCACAGTCTCCAAACAATGGTTTGCTCAAATTTGCAAAACTATCCTTGTAAACTTTTTTGAGATGTTTCTGCTTGTTCCTGGGAATTTGAACTAGCATTGCTAAAGTGATTCAAGCTTTAAAGTTATAGAATAGCACTAATTTGTCTGTATTCCTTTCCTTTTTGTTTTTGTTTACCTCAAGTAAATGTTTTCTTTGGGAGAAAAGTAGTTTCGTAGAGACTGGAGACTAACCACACCCTGCTCATCCCTAAGGATCATACCACAAGACAGTTATTAGATGAAGCAGAATGTTTTTTTACCTCAATCTCCATATGACCGTTTAAAAAAGTATAGTGTTTTCTATATAAATACCAGCCAGCGAGAAACAGTAGAAAAAAAGCTCTTTACATTGGGAAGTGGTGTGGACAACATTTTAGTTTGAGACTTAGAGGAAAGGGGATCAACAGGAGGAAGGAACAGAAGCAACCTTAAACAGATGTGTTCTAAGGACTCAGAGATTTCTGAGCTTCCTCTACCTCTAAGCATTGCATGGTGGACACTCTTCAATTCATTTCCAAATTCCAGAACAGAAAATGCTAAAATCTTTGGAGCGTGTGTTATTTGTTTTTGTTGAATCAGTTTTCAACACATACATAGATTGACACTCACTAAATAATACACATTTCACCCACACTTGAGCATTATTTCTGTTACACAGTAGCAAAGGTTGTAACTAAAAATTAAATGTCGCTTTGAGCAAGCTTTTTGGAAGTCTAGTCTGAAATTAATACAAATATTTTAGAACCCCAATTATAGCGTAAATCTGCTAATGGTTTACATACCTCCTTTCCACTAATGGACTAATTAAATGCAGTCTCATTTTGTAGGATTGTTGGACAGCCTATTCTTAGTTTGGCTGCAATTGCACATTGCATTCGATAATGAGGGTAGTTTATGTCAAATAATAGGAACCAATTCAAACATTTAGTGAAGAAGTGTTCTGAATAAATTATTGTTGGTCCAAAAAAAATCCGTAAAATGCATTTTATTCTGCACTGCATAGTTTAGAAGTTATGAATATGTCATGTGGATTATTGTGACCATCCATGCCAGAAGGATTTATTACATTTTTATTAAATGCTGCTAACAGACAGAGAAATTGACCAAAAACAAAACATTCTTTGTGCAGGTTTAATATAAAATGTTGCATTGTTCAAGCACCACCTAAGTTTTGATTCATTTTGATATGTTTCGGGTTTATTAATTAGCAAAAAGTTGAGAAAAACTACTCACAAGAGCTTGAAAGACAGACAATTGATACTTTAAAAATATGAAAATGCACCTACCACACAGTATGGATCAGTTTATTTTGTTGTGTGTGAATGTGAAAGATATATAATTTATAGTACTTTTCACCATGTTTAACAACAGAGCATTTAACAATAAAGTGTCTTTGTGTATTTCTCAGCATGTGACTATTGTTGGCAGAGGTATGAAGGGTCCATTCACTGCATCACAGGTTGTGTCTGTCTATTGTAAATCTGGCTGACACAAGGTTGAATTCTCCCAAAAAGATTCTAAATGGATAGGAATGAATCAAGTCCCTCATAGTTCCCGTTTTGATGTCGCTGTTTATTTTCTGGATTCACTGCAGCTTCACAAAACTGTCCACACATGGCCGGCACATGGTACTAACTCTTCCCTCAGGTGTTTTATGTGATGTATAAAAAAAACAGACCATTAGAGTCCAAGCCTGAACCAGACATACAACTGTGTGAGATACATTTTATTGCTCTGTAAAGATATATGGTGAAAGTTGTTTGAACTTCCTAGGGCCATTCACCTTATTAAGTAACTTTTTTTTCCTGTCTTTCTGTCGTTCTTTCTTTGTAAACCAGACATTGTGATAAGAAGGTGAGAAAGCTGATGTTTATCTCACATCTATCAGCTTGTTTTTCCTGTGAAAGTGTGTTATGCAATGCATCACCGTGTTTTTCCTGTGAAAGTGTGTTATGCAATGCTGAAATAAAGCCAGTTGCAAATATTTTGAGACTCTGGCAGGACTCTGGCCTTGGGGATATGATGGAGATGTTTCAGGTATACCAGGTAGCAGAAGGACTATACTTGGTATGTGGGATGCTATATTGAGCGCATAATACAGGTTTAACATGAAAGCATTCTCTTTTGGGGGCCTTTTTGTAAACCCGGTATGCCTCTTGCAACATCATATGATGTTAAAAGCTTTGCCTTCCAGATTACTAACGTCCACATACATTTTTCATTGTACAGCTGAGTACCCGCTAAAACAAGCAATTGTATTTTATTACTTTTTATGGGTGGTAACAACATGTTGGCTTATCGTTGTTAGATTTTGGCAAACGTTAGATTTCATATTTAAAGGCATTGATTCCCCAGTAATGTCTATGTAGTTGAAATAAGCGGTTAAATAAGGTTGGATGAATATGGCTAGCTGCTACATCTGGAGCTAAGTGAATCCTACGGACCTCAAAATAATGATTCAATAATAAAAATGGCAAGGATTTACCGAGACAATATCTTACAGAGCCATAATACATCAAACCTGATCTGATGTTAGAATTCCACCAGAGCCTCTGGCGGGATACTGTGGGATACCTTGCAAGGCGGCTGAAGACAGAAAACACATGGTGAGAGCTGTTTGTCTCAGCTCTTTCAACCATGGTGGCAGGTTTGCACATTTTAGTCCATTAACTGAAAATGGTGTACCTCACAATAATGCTTACAAGTTTCCAAAGCCCAGTTAAGATATTTTCGAATAATTTCTTTAATTCAAGGAAACCATTAGGTCTTGATATTTCATTGTGGCTTTCGGCTTCACTGCTATCACCTTGAAGAAACTTGAAATGTTTATATCATTGCCTATTGCGAGGAACTGTTTTGAATATTCCTCCTTCTGTGTTTAAGATGTATACCACCATTGTAGGATCTGGGTTTGAATAGCTTTGCAAAGCATAAAGACTGGAAGCAGGGGAAAGTAGCCTGACAAACCTTCATTGCTGATGTTTGGCAAACCTTTCAATAGCAGTGACAACAGCAGTCATTTTTAACAACCTGTTGAATCTTAGTAC